AAAGCTAAATTACGAATGAAATCCTCTCCTATGTGTTAGTTGCTTGTGAGTAATTGTCCTCCTCTTACTTTCTCAGCCTCTCTACAATCTGTCACAATATTCCAAATCCTCAATGTTTTCAATATAAGAGATCATACCTCTTGGATTTGTGTCCATTTCACCAGATGTTAGGCCAATAAGATTTGGACGCTGCATTGGAGTCCTTGAAAAGAACTGTCGATATTGAGATCTACCAGTACTAGTAATACTAGGGGCTTCTGGATTATAGCCATCTGGTTCATATGTATCTATTAGAAGAGAAAGAGAGAAAGAAAAATAAGAAATTTCCTCATTTAAAAACAACAAATTTTAATTTATAAAATTATATCCTGCCTTCCATATAATGTCATTCTCAAATCAATTAACAATCAACTGTAAGGTGAAACTGTTTTTTCTATTAAAACATGAAAGCACATCAATAAAAACCAAACAATTCATCATGTAAAAACTATTTCAGTAAAATGTTTAAGGCTCAAAAACCTGGCAGGATACGTTTTGAGTTGTAATGCAACTTATTCCCTTATTTTTTGCATCAACATCCCTGGTTGAGATCTATGTAAGATGCCTACAGGAGGACATCCATCTAGAATAGATGGAAATGGATGTTTCTGACATATTGCTAAAGAACATGGAGATGCATCAAGCACACAAGAAAGGAATGAAGTTTTTTTTTTCTTTCCTGCACCTTCTAATTTCTCTTGCTTCCAGGGTCTTGAGAGATGACATTCTTTGAGTGAAGGAACTGGGATGGGTCAACCTTGCAGGACTGAATCAATTACACAGATGAAGAGGACGGCAGTCCTTCAAGTAACCTATGCCATGTTAATGTTAAGAACTACAGTTCATTTCATCAGATGTAAATTATATTTTGCTATGCAAAACATGGTCCTCAGTAGAGAAATGGGAGACAATTATTTCCCATTTGCAGGTAGTAAACATGGATATATTCTGTGAGATGCAGAAAATAATATTTGCTTACGTTCTGATACTGAATACAGTAGGCTTTGGGGTAGTGGAGGAGGTAGCCTTGCCCCCATTGGTGCAAGGCTGGGCACTGTAGTTGTTCCTGGCTGGTCACGGCTATTAATTAAACTGGATTGAGATGAAGGAGGTCCTGGAATAAAACAGAAATGGTAGTCAGGCCACTTAAACAATTTTTATACATGATGTCCCTTCATGAATATAGTAAAGCATTTGCAGTAGGAGTATAGGAATTAACTCATTTTTCCGTAAAATAAATCAAATATTGGACCAAATTAGTTACCTAACACAACTCAAAGAAAATCAGTACACACGTGCTCCTAGTGAGTGGCCAAAAAGACAGTGTTGCAGTAACTGCAGTGAATGGGAAACCTAATAACATCCTACAATCCAGATAGCTCAGACTATGGTTCTAGTAACCAAACCATTTCCAAAGGTAGTCACTTGCAGAATTCTTTCCCTTTGCAGATATTATCTAAAGACTCTTCTGTCCTTAGTAATGGATGAGAACATCACCCGAGTCTTCAATTTTTTAAACTTAATTCTCAAATGTTCAGAGACTATGCTTTAAATTTTGTAATTGCTTTAGCAATTGCTTTAGCAATTGCTTTAGCAATTACTAAGAACAAACAATGCACTTGGTGTCTTAGAAATTATTTTGCAGCAGCCCTGACCCAAAAATGTAGCCAGGATTTTGATAAATATGAAATATCCATCAAGCTCCAAGCTCTTGTCTTAGACTTCAACAACGCACTTTTATCCGTGTATCATCTGTAGGAGTACTATATATATATATCAATAAGAGATAACATTTATTTTTTTGGCCGCAACTTTACATATGTATATGCTTATGTGTGTACACACATAAGCATATACATACAGACAGACAGATAGATAGTCTTTTGGGGTTTTTAATATATAGGTAGTCCTCAATTTATAACCATTTGTTTTGTGACCATATTAAATTACAAGGGCACCGGAAAAAAAAAAATTACAACCAGTACTCATAACCATTGCAGCATTCTCATGGTTACATGATCTACAGCACATGCTTGGTAACTGACATACATTTACAAGTGCTGCAGCATCCTGTGCTCATGTGTTTTGTCATCTATAACCTTCCCAGCCAGCTTCCGACAAGTAAAGCCAATCGGGGAAGCATTTGCTTAACAACCATGTGATTCACTTAACTGCATGATTCACTTTACAACTATGGCAAAAAAGGTCATAAAATTGGGCACAACTCAATTAAAAACCACTTTGCTTAAAATGCAAATTCTGGTCCCAACGGTGGTTGTTGAGGTCTACCTGTACTACGTTCCATTGTTTCCATTTGGCATTGTTACTATTATACATAACAGACTATTTTACAAAAAAAAAAAACCCAACTTACTTGGTATGGGGATTCTAACAAGTGGTGGTGGCCGAGGATGTAACTGTGGGCCTGGCATTCTCATGTTATGGGTTGGGCCTTGGGTTGGGGGCATCAGCATTCTAGGTGGAGGAAGTCCTGGAGGTGGTGGTGGGAAAGGAATCATGCTGGGCAGAGATACTTCATCTACAACTAGTGGGTCATTTCCATGATCGAACTGACAAAGATCACCAAGTACACAAAATCCTCGTTCTATTAAGAAAGAGAAAAAAAATCACATAAAATCATTATCCGTTATACTGATAACTAATGCTTCATTATACTGTGTAGTTCCCACTCATTATACAAAAAAATGAGGTTTGTTAAAGACTTTTTATACTAATGAAAGTATCTGTTATGTACTGCAATGGACAATGACATTGCATGGTCGATTTCACATGAAAATAAGCATCGGTCTTAAATCACCTTGATAAAACTGCAATCCTTTTGAATATTTTTCTTTATGAAGCAGGCGTGTCAAACAGGCGGCCCGCGGGCCGGATGAGGCCCCCCCCAGCCACGTCCACCCTGGCTCTGCAAAAGCAAAAAAAGTCCCGATACGTCCCACGATGCAATCGGGTTTGACACCCGTGCTATAAAGGAACCATTGTTCTAGAACAGGCATGTCAAACTGCCGGCTCGCGGGCCTGATGTGTCACACCGAAACCGTGCCCACCCCATTGCCGGCAATGGGGAAAAAGTAGCGATACATCAGGCGATGTCGTGAGTTTGACATGCCTGTTCTAGAATAAATAAAGAAGCTATTGGGGAGACAAAATCAAACGATAATCTTCTGAAAAAAGGGGTTTTAGCCTACTCTATGTCTTTTTCAATAATATTTAGATTAAGACATTAAAATATTATTTGACATGAATATTAATCAAAACATAGAGCATATTTATGAGTGCAGACTGTAAGCACTGTGTAAAACAGGGGCAGGCAACCTTGGCTCTTTTATGACTCGTGGACTTCAACTCCCAGAATTCGTGAGCCAGCATGGCTCAGCTTGGAAACCTCTCCCTTTTCCCTCAGCATGGCTGGCTCAGGAATTCTGGGAGTTGAAGTCCACGAGTCATACAAGAGCCAAGGTTGCCTATCCCTGGTGTAGAGAATCAGCAACATGGGACACTTTTTATTTCTCCCTATTGGTCTTTTCCAAATCAATCTCAAAAAAAACAAGAAATGGGAGATATTACCCCATCTTATACTCTCCTTTTGTGTGGCTGTCTAGTTTAGGCCCACATGGAGAAACATGACAGCAAAAAAAATATATGGTAGCATGGATTTAGGCCCATTGAGGGCATCTTGTTTACAATTCTCAAACTTGAAATAGGCATTTCTTATTCAATTAAATATAAAAACCATGTCACCGAAGTAAAATGAAATAAATCATAGAGGTGTACATATGATCTATACGATGCTAGTCTCATTTATATCATGTTTTGAAAATGCTGCACAAAGCTGAAAGAAGAACAAGCAGAAGCCTCAGTTACCATCATAATCTCGACACCGCCTTTTTGGTGGAATATTCCTGACAAAGGAATTAGGTGCAGAATGATTGCCATAGTAATTTGACCAGCTTTCTGTGGTGTTTTCAGGATGGTGAGCAGGTGCAATCACAGTAACAGCAGTAGGAATACACTGGGCTCCAGTGGAATACTGTTCGGCTGAATTTATGGAAGACAAAGACACAGGGTTGTATGAACTCTCCATGTCACTTCTTTCACACTTGAATTTGGCTCGTTCTCTGTGATCTGTTTGAAAATTCACAGTAAGTTTAGATAAATTTACCCTCTCTTCCACAGCTCTTTTGAGACGTCATGATTCTGCATAAAAATTAACATTATAGTATAGTAATCTATTACTGTTCTAGTAAAATCTTCAAATAGTGCTAAAATCACACTTTTGACAGCAGGAAAACTGTATAATTAGGTTCACCGCAGAGAGTTTATTGACATTTGTTTCAGAAATTACAAAAATGATTTTAATTATTAGATTTCTTTTTCTAAAATACCATTTTATCATATAACATAAATGTAATTTTTAGGAGTAGAGACTACTTAAAAATAAGTGACACACATCCACTTCTTTCAGCAGAGGTATAATTGAGAACAGCAACATCAAGCAGTAGGCAAAGAATAACAGAAATAATTTCCTGGATTAAGGCATTTTACGGAACATTTATTAAAAGCATGTTTTTAATTTGTTTTCACACAACGTCTTGGATATAATAGCAACTCACCAATATTTCTGCCAGCATCCCTGTCTTTGTTTGTATCTTGGTCTTTGCTTTTACCTCTACTGCGGCTCCGACTTCGACTTAGCCCTCTGCTTTTACTACGACTCTTACTTCTTCCCCTTCGCCAGTCATATTTGTCTCTATATAAGTCATTCCTATCATAGTATCTATCGTAGTCTCTCCACTTGCCATCATCTCTTTTTCTTTCTCTGGTTCTATTTAAAAATCCAAAACAAAAAAAATTAAGAATAGGATTTTCGAATAGCCTAAAATGTTCATAGCATTAAAATGTAATAGTAAGGTAAGCTATAGCAATAACATTTTTTTTTACAAAAAATACGTGTTGAAATCTAAGCTTAGAGAAAAAAATAAAATAAAAAAGAGTTAGCAGACATAATCAATTTTAACTACTAGTGTGACTAGAAGTTCAGTATGCCTGGTAGATGCACTGTTCTAAACACAAATGACTCTTTGAAAGTTTCTTGTGCTGATAAAGATTGTAATATTTAATGTCAATCAAATGTATCAGCACAGATGAAAAAAAACATTCTTGCTAAACACCATTTGAATCAGTGACTAGAGCTGATCAAATACTGCAAATGAATCATATTTTACTTAATCAGAGTGTATAGCAAGACCATCTGAAAATAAAGAAGATGATATATACTTTCAATTGTGAATAAACACAAACCTTTGTTCATTAGAATCTGAACGGTTTTTCTGCGGGCTAGTGTATTTCTTCTTTTTGTTCTCTCGCTCTTCTTCAAAAGATTCCTGAAATGTCTAACAACAAAGATGAAAATTATTAAATAAACCCCAATGATATGGGAGACACAAAACAAAATAACACAGATTAACCTAACAATAAACAACAGATGCTAGCCAGGGGTAGGCAACCTCGGCTCTTTTAAGACTCACGGACTTCAATTCCCAGAATTCTTGAGTCAGCATAGCTGACTCAGGAATTCTGGGAGTTGAAGTCTATGAGTCATAAAAGAGCCCAGGTTGCCTACCCCTGGGCTAGTCCAAAGGTGCTTTCTCAAAAGGCAACAGGACTTCCTTTTCCCCCCCTTGAAGACGTTTCACTTCTCATCCAAGAAGCTTCTTCAGTTCTTGGATGAGAAGCGAAATGTCTCCAAGGAAAAATAAGTGGCATGGGGGGAAAGGGAAGATGGGGGGGGAAGGAGTAGGTATCCCAGTGTACCTGAAATCCAGGTGTGATAACAGCAGCAGCAAAGAGAAGGAGTATGCTAGGACACTTGGGAAAGGGATTTGCATGGGTTCTTTTTGTTGAGTGGTGCTGTGATTGAATTCAGGTATGGTGGCAGCAGAAATTAAAGAAAGCTTCAGGATGGGACTGGGGCTGGATTTACCAGAAGGAGCAAGCAGGGGTGGTTGAAGAGAAATGTGCACCATCCTTGCCTTATTCATCCAGCAAAAGTGTCTGGAATTTGTCTTGCCTGGCATATGGAATAAGCAAGGGCTGCAACTACCCGGAGAAGATCCAATGAAGCCTTAACTCACAATAAGTTCTCTGCACAAAAAAGTCATTTTTTTTCTTTCTTGGGTTACTGCTTCAAGTATGAAAACTACAAGGGCAAAGAGTGGAACTAAGGATTCATGACACTAGAGTTCTCTATGAAAATAATGGCAAGGGCAAATCTGCTCAATTTCTGATCTGGAATTTCAAAGAATAATGTTACAGCGTACCTAATTGTTTTTATGGGAATAAGCTGTTGCTAGTTTATAGAACAAGTGCATCAGCCATTAAAATCTTGAAATACAAATTTACGATCAAATAGATAGAGATTTAAATTTATATTTTCATTTTTTACTTATTTCAATGCTGGCCCTTAAGACAACACTGCTTTATTCTAACAAACACATCAGATCCACTGAACAGCACTCAAAAAAGAATCTACGATAGCCTGGTTAACAAATATTTTGAGCCTTGTAGCCTTTTAGGCTGTGATGGTTTTCTTGTCTACTTTCAAGAACCATGGGCTCTTCCAAGCAAATTAAAATGAAAACAGTTCACTCCTATGAAACTTTAACTTTCAGACATTGATTTTAATAGGGAAACTGTTAAAAAATGAAAGTTATGTGGGAGCTGGAAGATCAAAAAAACCCTCTCTTAGACCTGCTACCAAATTGATCCAATCTGAAAATCAGAACCCCAAAACATTGCAAACTGCTTGCTGAAATAAAAACTGAACAGTTTGGTAATCTACGATGGGGAGGGGGATGGAAGAATGAAGCATTTGAAGAAATCTTTAAAATAAGATTTGCAAAAGAAATGCAAAAGAAAAAGTGTTTGACGTAGTGGCTAAAAATACTGGGCTAGGCACCAGGAAACAGTGAATACTAGTCCTATCTTAGGCAATGCCACTTTTTTAAATCATTGGCAGAAGACAATAGCAAATCACTTTTGAAAAATATTGCCAAAACCCAGCATGGGCTTCTCTCTGCATACTGTAGTCCAGGGGTGTCATACCGGCGGCCCATGAGCTGGATGCGTCACACGCAGGCCATGCCCACCCCAGCTCCGTAAAGGCAAAAAACGTCACGATACATCATGCAACGCGATCGAGTTTGACACCCGTGCTGTAGTCATTAGGACTCAAAACTGACTCAAAGGTATAAAATAAACAAACAAAAACATCTTGCCAACCATTAAGTACAGTAATGGATCTATTACACTTTCAGCTTGTGGGGCAATCAGTGAATCTGTTCCATCTGTTCCATGTTGAACTTTGCACTCTGTAGACACTGTATCAAGACTGGTTCACTTGAAAGTTTTATTAAGGCTCACTATTTGACTAAACTTTTGCATGCATCTTTACATTTTATTTTTGAACCAAAGACAAGCTTAGAGCTACGTAAAACACCCTTTCAAATGCTTTTTATCACTTTATCATCGTGTTCATTTAGGTAATGTCGATATCCAAAGTGACTATTTCAATAGATACTTGTATTTCATTCAGCCTTTCACTATTATGTTCCTTTCAAATGTTTTTAACGCAAACCAACGTGTGGTGAAGTAAGTAAATACCTTAAGACAGCCCCATGCTTTTGTACCACTGCTTCTATTCATAGTGTAGTGAACTTTAGAAAATTTCAACCCCCACACTAAGAGTTTTAAATTAGTGATTATTCACTGTGAAAACAGGTAATTTATTAATTTATAAGATCCCTTCTAAGACTCAGTCATAAATAGTGTGCTTCAGATTTTCAATGGAAATTGATTTTGGAGTGTAAATCTTCATAAGTAGAACTACACTTTCTGAACTCTAACAGGGATGGTCTGCACAAAATATGTAGCAGACAAGACTTTAGCTACTATATAATATTTTCTTTACATATTTAAAAAAAATGTTTTTGAAAAAAATCAAACATTATTTAATTACGCTCTATCAAATTGGTGACAACTTTTAGCAACCACATAGATATTCTCCATGACAATTTGTCTCTATATTATCCCCAGGAAGTCAGATTTTTTCTTAAATTCAAGTGAAGTTATCCTGATAAATAATTTGATAGTAAGGAACAGAATTTAGGAGACAGAAAAATCACTGCGTGTATATGAGAGGACTATGTGATACATAGATATCATCTCTCACTTGACCTTATCTAAATATAGCAGAGTTTTCAAATGTAATACAGTCTGAGTTAATAAAACATTAATCTTAACATAACATATGTTATTTTCCCAATTACATTTACCCCTAAATAAAATATCCATTGTGTTAGGAAAGTACAATATTTAAAATGGCAGTCCCTGACCTTATAATTAAATAAACAAAATATAAGCTATGAAGTGATTGAAGCACAATGAAAATAAGCTTTGCATTATTCCATACCAACCTCTGAAATGGGAATAACGTTCTTTAACACAGTAGTTAGCATCTAGAATAAAATATGAAATGCTGTATGAAAAATACAAATATAAAATCACATTTAAGGTAGCACTGAAAACTATTTGATATCACATTAGCTTTTTGTCCTTATGAATCAGTGCATTTCCCCCAAAGATTTAATGATCTTTTAATTACAATTCTTGAATCATCCATTTTACCTTTGACTTTATTTTTTGACAATGTAGGGGTATGCATGAACTGCAAAATCTTTTTTAATTTGTTGCATGAAAACAAGCATACAGTGGCTCAGAGGTTGAGTAGATTGTTCTAGCAAAGGTCTTGATTCAGCCAAATCACGGCCATGTTCTGGGTTTTATCCAAGAAAAATCTAAAAATATGAGTCTGATACAACTTCTAGATGGATAACTGGTATTCAAATAGAAAATTTAATGTACAAACTTACATTAAGCTAAGCAAAACATTTCACATAGGGTGGTGTCCCATGTCTCACTTTCCTTCTCCATGCTGTGTGCCAGCCTGCCTGCCTTACATTCCCTATCATCAAATTTAAATTCAAGCATGGCATACCTAAGTGGTCTACCCTGCCACCTGTTTCTTTGACCTTCGTAGCTTCTTCATCACTGCTGTTTTCTTATTCAACTAGGCCACAGCCTTCAAATGGCTTTCCTTGACTAGTCAATGCCTTCCCCATCTTTCTGCCCCTTTTTTTCCCCAGTGCTGGTTTTACTTTTTCATTGTTTTCACACTGGAACTTATGTATTCAAGGTCCATCCATGTTCAGACAAAACACAGGTATTTTGATCCAATATGGACCAACTAATATTGTCTGTTTCATGCATAGGACAGTCCTTGCAAGAAACCTTTTAGGTATCCCTGATAAATATCTGGAAAGAGCCAAATTAAAATGAAAGCAAATGGTTGAATATCTTCAGAGAACCTTCCATTATAAATAATATGATATTAAGTGCCTCAACACATCATCATAGTGGCTCCTTATAGAATTCTTCAAACATGGAAATTCCCTTTTATTTCTGAGACCTCCTGAATTTTTCATCAAAGGAATTAAAAAACAATTTTGTTCAGCAAAAAATAATAATCAACATGGCCACAAACTTTCTTAGGAGTTCAATCCTGACAGGCTCAAGGTTGACTCAGCCTATGAAGTGGTATATAAATCTAAGTGCTATAGCTGTTAGGAAACATAGAACATGCCTAGCTAAGTACAGAATAAGTATCAAAATTCTAGCACAACGTATTATAAAAAACAAATCTTCCCAATTCAGTTTGGTGTTCCATAAGTTCTTATTGTCTGTCTCCCTTACATAATTTGTGCAGAAGGCTAATTATCCATGTTCCAACATCAGAAAGGGCAATAAAGCATAGAATAAAATTATGCAACTTCGAGGAGACATTTCTGAAACTTATTTCACATGCATTTCTTTTCAGTATTATCAATGTTAGTTTCATTCACCTAGCATTATAAGTAATAATAGTATTATCATTAGAAGTAACAAAATCCCTGTTAATTGTAAATTATATAACTTAAAACCTAGAAGCATAGGTCTTCCAATTATAGTGTAACATACACATAATTAAACCCTAGGTCAGGGGTAGTCAACCTTGGCTCTTTTATGACTCGTGGACTTCAACTCCCAGAATTCCTGAGCCAGCACAGCTGGCTCAGGAATTCTGGGAGTTGAAGTCCACGAGTCATAAAAGAGCCAAGGTTGACTACCCCTGACCTAGGTAATGGGTCGCATATTGGGAATTATGCACATGCGGCCATCACTTCTGCAGCCCAGTTCCGAATGGCTCACGGCCCGGAGTTGGCTGTGGCTCAGGGCCATGATGTATAGTAAATCAGGTTTCCTTCAAAAATGAAAGGAAAACTATATATGAAGTATCAAGTAAAACTAGAATAAGCCAGTACTGTTATATTTATTTACCTGGGATTGAATCCCGTTACATTTCACTGGGTCTTCTTTCTCAGTGATGTGCTTTGACTTATGCACAACTATCTTAGGGTATGTTCAATGGACATTATTGGGGTGAATTCTGAATGGATTTGCACAGGACTGCTCTAAGTATCAAGGAAATTATACTGAAAAACTTACCATTGCCTCCTCTTTGATTTCTTCTTTTCCTTGATTAGTCTTTAGATCAGGTTTTACTGGTTCATTAGGAACTAAGTAATTCTTAGTATATAGGCTTTCAAATAGTTTGTCAACAAAACCCGATGTTTCTGTGGTAAACAAGCAAGAAAATTAATCACGTTTCTAATGAACCTAACTTTCTAGTTTTGCATTATAGTTGCCTTTTTTTCTCCAGATCAATTCAACCCCAATAAATGAAAGCGCCTTAAACTTATTTTTCCAATAATAGAAGCATCACTTCTGTACCACACTGTTTCAAACATAAATTGTGATGTGATTGAGACCTGACATTTGAATTTGAAAAATTAAATACTGCATGCTTGCCCTGCCCTTGATTATGCCTAAAATAGTTGTTCAGATTTCAGGTCATATTCTTAAAACTATATTAAGAATCCACTGGGAGATCATTCTGTCTGCTGAAAAAGATGGTATAAATTTTATTTTAAAACCAGTATAATTTCTTCAAGGCTCTAACTTTATAGCCTATCGAGAGAGAAAAAAATGAATTCATGGGTGCCATAGTGAAATTTTAGGGTTTTTCCCCCCATTGACTTGAGCTGTGGCATATAGGATGCTGACAAATATTTCCCTGCATTTGGGCAAGCTCGGATAAAATCAAATGCCACCAATTTTATTTTAAATAAAAGCATATCTAACATAATCTAGTTTCATTATAAATTCCCAAATTATGCTGGATGATCATCTTTTCTGGAAGAAATAACAAGTCTTAACAATCATACTGGCCTTCCTGTATAGCATGGGTAAGGTAGGTTGTTTTCAGTTTGGACCAAACTTGGGAAACGGAACAAGCAGTGGCTTGCTTTTTTCTACCTTGCTCATCCACGTTAGAGCTGCAGATAGGAAGTAGATGCACACTGACATATTATGTCCTGGTCGGTTCTCTAAACTTAGACTAGGCCAGGGGTAGGCAACCTTGGCTCTTTTATGACTCGTGGACTTCAACTCCCAGAATTCCTGAGCCACGAGTCATAAAAGAGCCAACGTTGCCTACCCCTGGACTAGGCCTACATCATGTTGGAGTAAGATGGGCCTTGGCCTGATGAGGAACTATTCTTATAAGAAGCAAAGGGATTGCTGCATCTGAACAAAGCTAATATTTTGTGAGCACTTTAATAGTTTAATCTGCCAAAATGAGATTTAAATGTTTCTACCATTGCCATCTTTTGAGGGTTTTTTAAAAAAAACTTTTTGGTCTAGTCTACAGCACTGGGTTCCTCGTAGTCTCCAATCTAAGTAATAATAACTGATTAGCTTTTTAAGATGAGCAAGGCATGAGTACATGCTACCACTCAGCTGGGGCAAATTTCTCCATGTTTAGCATCAGCAATTTATAGAATGAATCAGACATTTATATTAATTATCTGACAATAGGTGGTGTCAGCTGTTAACAATCACATATATCTTATCCATGATTATCTGTCTTTAATTTCATCCTTCAAGTCTTCCAACAAAGGACCCATCACACTGTGACTGAGTCCATCCATCTTCCTGTTGGTTGTCCTCTTCTTCTCTCGCTTTTCATCTTTCTCAGCTTTAGAACTTCTCCAGAGAGCTAGCTTTTGCCTAATGTACCCCAAAATAGGATAATTTGTTGTTGGTCATTTCGGCCTTGAGTGAAAACTCTGGGTTAATTTGTTCGATGTTCCATTTCTTTGTTTTCCAACAACAAAGTTTGAAAGTGTTAATATGACACTTTCTTTTACTTGCTCCTTCACATGTGATGGTTGACCCTAAAAAGCAGACTATACTTATTACCTTGATATCTTCGTTATCAATTCTAAAGCTGGTTATTGCACCTGTTGTCAATAGTTTGGTCTTCTTTATAATTAATTTTAGTCCCATTTTTTCACTGTGCTCCTTAACTTTTGTTACTAGAGCTTGCAGATCCTTTGCATTTTCAGATATCACTGTAGTGTCATCAGCACAGTGCAGGTTACTGATGTTTCTTCCTCCAGTTTCAAAGCACAGTCATCTTCCACTCCTACTCCCCTTAAGTATATCCAGCATTTAGTTGAATAAATGAGAGAATATACAGCTTTGTCTCACTCGTAGAACCAATCTGTAGCTTTCTGATCTATAAACAGGTTTTCCATGAGAACGAGATGTTCTGAGACAGAAATTTATATATTTGCTCTTATTAGTATGTTTTAATCTGCCCAACAAGTGAAGGTCTTTGGGTAAATTATATACTTTAAAATATTTTTAAAAGAAAAGCAACAATGTATTAATAACAATATTTGAAAGTTATAAAACATGTAAGTCATTACCATAATGTCTATTATTTGTAATTCAATTATAATGAAAAAACCTTATATAAATTCATAATACATTATTAATAAAGGTAACTGTACCTTTTTGCAGAAATACATCTAGCTGATCAGCACAGAAAGCCTTCAGTTCTTTCTCTGGCTTGTCTTTTTTGACCAGTGCAACAACATAGTTAGCCAAGGCTGATGGATCAGCATCACATCTGAGGAAAAATACTTTTATTAGCATATAACTTTTAGTGTGAGAAGTCTAACACAAGATGATATATTACAATAAACTTTTCTGAAGATGCAGCATCTTATTCACATAGACAAGTCTGGTACAACTTCTAGATGGGTAACTGGTATACAAACAGAAAATTGAATGTACAAACTTACATTAAGCTAAGCAAAACATTTCATATAGCAAGCAATGCTCTGTACTAATGAGTTCCAGAGAAACAAATTCAATGTTACTAAGAATAAAACATTATTAAAAGTAAACTAAAATTTAAATCAGGCTAGAATGTAAGATCCAGCTTTTACCACACTTCTGCACACTATACAGTTCTTTAGTGTTACCATATCACAGCAAAAGTCCCAACATGAAGGTTTATGTCCATAAAAATGCCTTTAAAAATGTTAAATTAACAAGTCTGTACTTTTTCCATATTATAGGCTCCATATGAAGTTTTCTCCATTACTATAGGTTTAGCATTTGTATGCATATCATTTTATTGTTATTTCCTCACGGTTCCTGTTTTAGAAGACACTGGGGAAAAATGCTTTTACTTTTTGTCTGCCTGATCCTTGGTCAGCCTCATTAGATTTCTCTCAGATACTCTACCTTTTTTTTCAGATATGCATTTTTTTTCTTTCCTCAAGTTTTTGTTCAGATTCTTTTCCTGTTTCTGCTCCTCCCCCCCACATTTACTACAGTCAGTCATCTGGGGACTTCCTGCCATTTACTTTCCTCTCCCTTATATAGCTTTTCTGCATGTCATGTCGTTCTGTGCAAAGATGTCATTCCATCCAAACTAATACCTTTCCTTCCTGGGTGCAGTACTACAAATTGGTTTCAAGAGTAATTTAGCGTTAACTGAATTATTATGGTGTTGAACCCATGCACCACCATTAACTTTCAATATTATTATAGATATTATCCAGTGCTTAGGAGGAAACAGATATACACTGTCTATAAACAGTAAAATGATCCAAATCATTTGCCCAGACTATCTCTCTTAGTTATTCCTTACAAAAATATCACTCTTAAAATGTCCTAATAATAATTTCCATGAGGCAATTGAAAATATTTCATGTCCTGAAATTCTTTAAAGTAAACCATAAACACAACTTTATTAATATAGAAATCTTTATGTTATAATAAAAATATGGTCCCAAGACCATATTGGGAGCATATTTGTGGGAGCATATTTTTATTATAACCCAAATATAGGTTGGGAATATACCCAACAATCCAGTGATGTTTAAGTGACTAAATGATCTGATTTTTAAAATACTAAAATATAAGTTATACTTGACTTTGAAAGTGTTAATCATAAATTAGTAATTACAACTTATTACAGTGTTCTAGAAAGTGATAAGGAGAAAAAGACAAGATCTCTTGCAGACAAATACACCAAGAATAAAATATTTGACATAAAAGCGCTATTTTGCATATTTCGTTGCAAAAGGATGCTGAACACTATTCAATGGCATGTAAGAAGCAAGTTAGTCATAAGTAAAGTGTCAGAAGCAAATGTAGTCGCAGGTAAAGTTGCATGCAAAAGATCTTAGGGTCAGCTCTAGGTATCTGCAGGTCTTCAGGAAGTAGAGTCATTGCAGAATTGAAAATCCTGAGGTACAGTAGTATTTTGGCTTAAAACAATTGTAAATTTACCACATAGGAAGTAATTCACAAATCTTTCTATACAAAGTTTTTTTTGTCCATTCATGTATAATGTTGATTTTGAAATGAAGGTTTAAAATGTTGTATGTTGATAGATCCTTGTTTACATAATGATCAGTGTTTTGTTTATTCCTTTTCTGCCACTGAAACTAATGAAATAATGTAAACCCAATTCTTCTAAACGTTAACTTAATAGTACATCAAGTTGATTATCCAAAATAGCTTGTCTTGAAAGTAATGCACATATTGTGTTACATTGTACTAAACTGTGATATGGTTAGTTTATGGTTCACATGTGAACTCAGATATTGTGGGTTATACACTATGTTTATTGTATGAGGGAATGCGGCAAGACAGTGAAGAACCACTATGACTTGCCAAGATTTTTCATGATGATTATTTCTCTGCATATTTCTAGATATATGCTGTTATGGCTCTAGAGTTCTTTGGATATATTACATGAACTCTACCAACTGGGATCGGTTTAATCTACATAATTTACTGTTAAGATTCAATGTAGCCATGTTAAAGAAGGAACCTTTGTAGTCACAACTAAGCAAGTAAAATCAATTAATCTTTAAATCTGAGTATGAAAATCTTCATCTAGATCAGGGGTCCCCAACCCCAGGTCTGTGGACTGGCACCGGTCCACAGCAAGCCAGCAAGCGGGCCGCACAAACAAGCAAAGCTCCATCCTCAGGATGTAGGCAGTATTCAAAAACACACCCCCTCTGGTCCGCAGAAAAACCTTTATCCATGGCACCAGATCCTGGCGCCCAAAAGGTTGGGGATCTCTGATTTAGATGCTTATTGTTGAATAATAAAACATAGGACAGGCTACAGTTGCATGGTAGTATATATTAAGTGCACAATTGAACAGAAAATTTTAGGCACTTAACTGAAGTGCATCTTTCAATGAATCCCAAAGTAGAAAATAAATATGGCAGACAAGAAACTTAAACACCCCTTTGTTTAGTATTCTGTAGATACTTCCTTTGACAGAAACAGCAACTTCCAAATATTTCCTATAATCAACTAAGATTCTTCCTGTTCTTGCTTTTAGATATTTTTTCACCAACTCTTCTCTATTGAACTCTTATAGGCAATATTCTTAGGGTTCCTTGCATTTTTGAGATTTTAAATAAGTAAGTCTGTGGACTGCTCAGGCTATTCTAGAGCCTTTATTTTTTGTATGTTCCAGATCATTGTTTTGCTGAAATAGCCAACCTCTCTGCTTTGGCTTCAGTTTCTTCACTGACTGTGGGACATCAGCTTCTATGATATTTTGATATTAAGTTGAATTCAGTCCTCCTTTTACTTGTATAAATATTTCCTTTGCCACTGACTGCCACACAATCCCAAAACATAATAGAGCCATCTTATGCTAATAGCAGCTAAGGTATTCTTTTCTTCAAATGCGTTACTCTTTTTCTTCAAATGTATGTTGTGTGTGAGTTTGTGACCAAGCTGTTAATTTTTTGTTTCATCAGTCCAAACCCCTTTGTTCCAAAATGTTCTAGACCTGTTCAAGTTTCTTTTTGCGTACCTTAGATGATGACTTTTGTGATGAGGTTGGAGAAAAAGTTTCTATCAACTATTCCTTGCAGTATATTCTTGTATAATGAATGTTGTGCTGTGGATAACTTCTCCAGTGCTAGCTAAACTTTTCAGCAGGTAGTTTGTGTTTTGTAGATTTATCCAGTTCCAGGCAGTTATGGCAGAGATTTGTCTTGATCTTCATGCTAATGTCCCACAGCCAGTGGAGAAAATGAAGCTGAAAAGAAGTTGGATAATTCAACAGTACAACAATCTGAAACATACTTCCAAATCAATCATGAAGCTCTTAAAGGAGAGAGAAATAAAGGATTTGGAACAGTCTGTACAGTTCCCAAAGTTGAATATTACTGAAAACCTGTGGAGAAAGATCTCAAGCATGCCATTCATGCTAATAGACCCAAGGATTTCTAACTTAGAAGATTTTTTGCAATGAATAGCGGGGAAACCCCCCCCCCAAAAAAAGCAACAACAGAAAAACGTCTGGATGGTCACAGGAAATATTGATATTTCTGCTGAAATAAATATTACAAAATGCTGACTAAAAGAGTGTCCAGACTTTTGTACTTTCCACATTGTTTTTATTTTGTATCCGTAAACAAACTGCCTACAAATAGCAAACATGCTCTGAGATTTGCAGCAAGGTGCTGTGCTTAACTGTTAACCATATGCAGGTTTTATTCTCTTCATTTAAGGATTCATTAAAATGTAAATGATGACCAAGGGTAACTAAACTTTTGTATTCAGCTGTAAAAGACAACACTAAATTATGAACACCAAATAGCCTTTCAAATGTGCTTAGAGATTTGGACACATTTGTAATCCTACCATTTTATATGGTATAAAAATTCAAATGGAGACTCCACAGGTTAGTTAGAAATACCAACTGCTTATGTAACAGAATTCAATGTTATTCTACTTCATTTTATTTTTATCTTAGGAAACCAAATCAGCATTCCAGTTTAAGAACTCAATTCATGAGATATCAAAACCACTTAAAATAGACTGTAAAGTTTGGGATAACATAGTTAAATATTTAAGGCCAAAAAGTTAATAATTTTAAAAAATTAGGAATTGAGATAATTTAAGTATATTCTCTTGGAATTTCTACTCATCATTTTAAGTGGGATGTAGCACAGTACTCTTTAATGTAACATGTACACTTCAATTTTTTAAGTGTCAGTTTCAAAAAAATCTACGTGGTTTGTAGTATAAGCAATAATTTGTAGTTATAACCATATATGCAATTAAAGTATAACACAATTAATCAATAAAAATATTTCCCTCTGTCAAAACAAGTGACACAGTAAACAGAAGACATAAATTGTATTCCAAAAAACTTTTCATGAAGGTTCTGAAAAGATGTAATAACTGCTATAAGGTAGTAATATATTTTTTTTTGGTCAAGCGCTGGACCAAGTAAAATAAAATGTTAAGGATTCAAAACTTAAATGTCAGAATTTTTCAAAGTTATAGACAAAGTGCTTGCATAAAAAAAACCCAGAATACCTCTTGGTATTATGTTAGTTTACCAATAATATCGAACTTGGTAAAACATTATTTCATTATTCTAGTGAGCTGCTTTCTTCTAGAGGTTTTTCTTGTTTACTACTCAACTCAAACCCAAATAGAGAGAACGGGTTCGAGCGAAGGATGGGCAATGGGTTCGTTTCTGCGTTTCAATAGTATATGACCCACTGCCCTAAACGTTTTTCACTTCCACGCAGCGCCTCTTAACAGGAGGCTCCCTGTCAAACCCTCATTCTCCTCAATACTCTTAAGCCACGATCGGGACGTTTTGTGAACCAAGTAGGCGAGCAGAGAACCCCGCTTTTTGTCCCCGTAGAAACTCAGGCGCTTTCATTACTCCCTTCATCCTCACGTGTCTCTCTCTCTCTTTCTCTCTCCCGGTTCCCAGCTTAGTCTGTAGCTATTACTACAATGCCTTCTCCGGCATGTAGGCAGAGGGACCCTCCACGCCACAGGCAGGACCCGCTCCCTCCCTCCTTGGGGGGGGTGTCTTCGGCTTCTCCCGCGCCTCCGGCTTATTAGCCCCTTCCCTCCAGATTCACGCATCCCTTGCGGGCCCCTTCCCAAGCCAGCCCACCCTCCTTCCCCGGTCAAGCCCCTTAATCTCCGCCTTAAGGTCCCAAGACTTCCCTCACCCTGCGCTCCCTCCCCCCCCAGGGTGGAAGTGAAGACCACCCCGCCCGCCATCCTGGGGGGGGGGGCTCTCCCGCACCAGCCCGCACTCACATTGGCTCCAATAACTTGGCCAGCCAGGACTTAAGCGCGTCCACGTTCTCTATGATCATGGCGAGGAGGGTCGCGGCGGTGCTGCAGTTACACTTAGGGCAACATCCCCCCGCGCTGGACTCCGGCCTCTTCTTCCCTCTCCCGCCAAGTAGTCACTCGCCGCCAGCAGCAGCAGCAGCAGTAACTCTCGCCCCTCCCCCGTTTCGCCGAGCCTGGGCCTAAGTCAGACCAGGAACTAGCTAACCGAGAGAGCGCAACGTAACCTGCTGGGCATCGGAGAAGGGGCGGGCACCCGGTTTCACGGCGGAGCCAATCGGATGACGGAGCCTCAAGGAAAGTCAGCCAATCGCGCGACAGGGCCCCCGAGCGAAGGGAACCAATCCGAAAGCTGCTGGGAGTACGGTACAGTGGCAGGGGGGAGGGGGGGTGACACCGGTGGGAGGGCTCAGCAGGTTAGGTCGAGTCAACACACGCATTGAATTCTTTGTAAAGAGAGCTGCGAATTCGGGGGAGCCGCTCCTCAAGCGCGGGTCGTTGGAATACGTGAAATCGTGTAGCGTAAAAAGTGTGTTTCCGAGCCTTTGCCGAACAGATTCTTACGTACGTTGCACATTAATTGGGCATAGATCGAGTCAGAAATCTGCGTTTTATGCACGGCGTTGTGTTGATTCCACACGAATTTGTATCGAGTTAGCGAACGGTTCTCTTAAGTATATGTGTATACCATATATAGAGCCAAACTAAATTACTGAGGCTCAGTTGCACATGGCTACAATCTCGCCTCTCCCAACAATTGTCATACTTGCTAGCATAGGATATAACTACAAACAATTGTCATAACTACAAGCCTCTGATGAGGTTAAAACTAAGATGAAAGCTGATATGCCATAAATTTAGATCATCTAAATCCCCCAAGAAACGTATTACCTGAGGAAAGCAATATCTAGTAATAATGGTTAACATGCAACATGAAAATATTTATTAAAATACATATGAATTACACACTCATCATGTACAGTATTTACCTACACATGCACAGAAAAGCCATTGTGGTATAACGGTTTAAAGTTTTGGAACAGGATGGGGTAAACAAGTATAAATTAAATGGATACCCAATGAATTAGGCCAGTCACTCTTAGCCCAATCTACTTAATTGAGTTCTAGGGGGAAAAAATCAAGAGAAATACAGTATCTAAATACTTTGAATTCCTGGCTACAATGAAATTAACATCAGCAACTGGAAATTTTATTCAAAGATACTACATTTGACCTTCCCCATTTATGCTATTCCTAATATTTATAGTTAAAGTTTAAATGATAAACCATATTATTTTTTCCATACAGTGCAGGTTTTTATGAATGTTATTTAACAAAATGTTCAAAGCAAAATAATGCAGAATAATTTTATTTTCATTCATCAAAATAGCCAAATTGACAGAAATCAGATCTAGTCACTTGATACAGAATGGCAGCCATCTTGAAATTAGAATTGAAAGTAAGGTGGAGCAAAAATAGTAATATAATAAGTAAATTTTAGATGCTCATTTAGCAAGTTATATTGTAAAATATTAATGTTCAGTATATAATTACATTCTTTGGATACATTCATAAATTCACTATCTTGCAATAAACAGTAAAGACAGCTATCACAGACCTAAAGCATCTTTGGAAATAATTTTTCATTGAAGGATTTTCAGTGCTGATACTTGCAATGTATAAGACATATGAATCTGTGAACTATTTTAGTTTCCTAAATGCCTGACTATCAATGATGAGTGGTCTGGGTTTAGAAACCAAAAAGGCACTTTCTGTCATATTTTGAATGCTATTGCTGCATCATTATTGCACAAGATAAGTCTAATAGTGACTTTGTTAGCCCTTTGATTCCCTGGTATATATTTGATTGTTATATATAAGAGATAACCTTTATTGTAATTTTTTTTACTGTGGGCACAACGGCACAATCAAAAATGAAATTTAGTTGCCCGCTTTCAAAGTGAAACACATACATGACACACACCTAAACATACTATGAACAACATATGTACAGACCCACATCCCTACATACATGTAGCAAATAAATATTAAATACTGTCCATCTTGCATATATAACGGAAGGAAGAAGCTTGAGAGTTCACAAGGTTAATGCTGTATGGGATGAAACTATGGCTGAATCTGGATGTTCTGCTACGGATACCACCGTGGTATCCATGCTACGGATACCACGGATACCAGAAGGTAACAAGGAAAACAGGTTGTGAAGAGGATGTGTAGTGTCCCAGATAATCTTGTGGACCCTGCTCAAACAACACTTCTGTGCTATGTCCTGGATGGGAGGAACTGCCAATGATCTTTTCGGCCATTCTTACCACTCTCTGCACCGCCTTCCTGTCTGAAGCAGTGATGCCTCCAAACCAGACCGTGATGCTGTATGACAGGATGCTCTCGATTGTCCCCTTGTAGAAAGTGGTCAGGACAGGGGAAGGAAGATGTGCTTTTTTCATGCGACGCAGAAAATGCAGGCGCTGTTGTGCCCGCTTCACCAGTTTCTCGCTGTTGTTAGCTGCACACCCAAGAATTTGATGCTGGTAACCATCTCCACAGGTGAATCATTAATGCACAGAGAAGTGTGGCTGTGCCTGCCTTTTCTGAAATCAACAATGATCTCTTTGGTTTTTCCGGTATTAAAACTAGGCTGTTTTCCTTACACCAGTTCACCAACCCCTCAACCTCCTTGCGGTAAACTTCCACCTTGTCATCCTGAATAAGGCCCACTACTGTTGTATCATCTGCGAACTTCACAATATGGTTGGTGGCAAACCTAGCACAACAGTCATGGGTCAACAGAGTGAACAGCAGCAGACTTAAGACGCAGCCCTGAGAAGAACCTGTGCTCAAGAAAATGGTATTAGAGGTATTTGTTCCAATTCGCACATATTGGGGCCTGTTGGTAAGAAAATCAAGAATCCAGTTGCACAAAGGAATGTTTAAGCCTAAAAGGCCCAGTTTGTCTACTATATGCTGGGGAATGATTGTGTTAAATGCCGAATTGAAGTCGACAAACAGCAAACACATATGAGTATTTCTTTCCTCTAAGTGCTTCAGGCTCAGATGGAGAACGGAAGAAATAGCATCCTCCGTAGAGCGATTTGGTCGGTAGGCAAAGTGAAGCGGGTCAAATGCTGGCGGGAGGCTAGATACAATAGTGTCCTTTATCAGCTTCTCAAAGCATTTTATGATGGTGGATGTCAGTGCAACTAGATGGTAATCATTGAGGTCTGTAATTGTGGAGTTTTTTGGCACTGGCAAGATGATGGCCGTCTTAAAACACGATGGGACCACTGCCTGCTGCAATGAGAGGTTGAAAATATCTGTGAGAACACAAGCCAGCTCCTCTGCGCATTCCCTGAGGACACGTCCAGGGATATTATCTGGGCCTGCTGCTTTCCAAATGTTAACTGTCTGCAGTGTTTTTCGGACAGAGGTGACATCAAAGCTTGGCACTTGCTCATCAGGATGGGGCACAGTTTTCCTAGCAGGAGTGCTATTTGATGCTTCAAATCTACTAAAAAATGCATTCAGTTTGTTTAGGAAGTCTATGTCATCCTTGCATCTCGATGGAGCCACCTTGTAATCCGTAATGGCCTGGATCGCTTGCCACATTTGCCTGGTGTTTGTTGGGTCCTGAAAAAAGTTCTGAATTTTCTGGCAATGGGCTTGCTTTGCATCTTTTATGGCACTTTTCAGATTTGTTCTGGCTGTTCTAAGTGCCAACATGTCACCAGATTTAAAAGCCACATTCCGTGCTTTCAGCATCTTGCGGACCTCATAGGTCAGCCACGGTTTTTCATTCGCCCTCACAACAATACTTTTCAGGACACAGACATCTTCTATGCACTTTTGGATACATGCAGACACCGTGGTGGCATACTCAACATTTGTATGTTGGTTATCAGTAGCTGCTTCCTTAAACATGCCCCAATCTGTGCACTCAAAGCAGTCTTGTAATGCTTCTATAGCTCCCTCTGTCCAAACCCTCACCTGCTTCACTGTAGGTTTCACTCTGACTAATAAAGGCTTATATGCTGGAATAAGCAGCACAGAGAGATGGTCAGAGAGGCCCAGGTGAGGGCGGGGGATAGCTTTGAAAGCCTTATTGATGTTGGAATAAGCAAAATCCAATGTATTGTCCCCTCTGGTTGCAAAGTCCACATATTGATGGAAATGTGGCAGGGTAGCTTTCAAATCCACTTGGTTAAAGTCACCCACTGCAATAAATGCACCTTCTGGGTGAGTAGTTTGTAAGTCACTGATGGTATGGCGGAGAATCTTCAGGGCCTCTTCTCTGTTTGCATCAGGGGGGATATACACAGCTGTGATAATGGTAGCAGAGAATTCTCTAGGCAGATAGAAGGTGCAGTACAGTATAACAAAAGTAATATTGCTTATGTAATAGTAAATACTATTACAGTAAATACTGATTTCAATGGGGTTTATGTCCTAATAATTTTGAATTTTTAACTGCATATAAGTACAAATGCAAAAAATCCATCTTCTATAGTGTGTGCAAGGTTTAGAGGAAAATTATTTTAAATAAAAGAACTGTGAAGAAACATCAATATTGTATTATACTGTTTTTTTCTAGAAATACTATATTTATCCTGTTAATTTTTTGTCATCAATACTATATTTTAATTTATTTCTTTTTCCTGTGAACAAGGGCATGTTATTTAATAAAAATATGCTCTGCCTCACAGGCAATTTTGAAAGCTTGTATATGCTTTTAACAAGAGATGGTTTAATAAAATACTTTATCTCTTGGAGTGCTTTTCTCTCTGAGAAACATTGCAATATGATGACATCAAATTGAACATCAAGTAGCACCGAAAAGCTTCTTGGATATATTACAACTCTTGCATACTTAGCAAACTTTCAGAAACAAATATTGGATAGTTTGTCAGTGAGCCTCACATAGGACTACAGTGCATGCAACTTGTTTTTGTTCCTGCAAAATGCATTCCTTTGGCACGCATCTTAGAATCAAGTCCTAAAGGATAGTGCTCATAATCCAACCAACTTCAATATCTAAATTATAATTAGTTACATTTATTTTACGGCTGGAAGGCATTTTTTT